ATGGAGAAGAGGATGAAGAAGAGGATGAAGAAGAGGATGAACTGGGCGACGAGCCACATGAATTACATGAGCTACAAGATGAGCTGCAGCTTGGCGATGTTGTACTGCTGGAAGAGGTGCAGCTGGATGATGATGAACTGCTGGACGATGTGCAAGGTACAGAGGATGCGGAGCCGCTGGATGGATAGGGAGAAGAGGTGCTCGAAGATGATGAGACAGTCGTGGTGATGGAGAACGTCACCATGTGTGTGATAGAGGCAGTGGTAGTTGCAGAGTCCGTCTCAGTCTCGGTCTCGGTTTCCGTCTCCGTCTCTGTCTGCGTTACAGTCTCTCCCTTGTGAGGTCTTCCATGAGGACGAGAATGATGGCCATGGTGACCTGTCGAGCCATATTCCTCCTCGAATTCGCCATCGCCGTCATCATCGTGGTCTCCATCATTTGTACAAGACGACGTACTAGAAGTCTTATGCTCCCACTTGCTTGATGTCGTAGTTTGTGGTGCCGGCGTGGTCGTGGTGCAAGAGGTTGTCTCGACCGTCTTACTTGAGCCCCTTTCAACAATGGTGACATGCAAACGTGTCTTCAGGATAGCTCGAGGTTCAACATACTCGCTGGAGTTGGAGCCATGGTTAGAAAGATCAATCTGCCTATGGCTCGAGCGTCGTGCGGCAGGAGAGGCTTGACCGAGACCGGCAAGATGGATGAGTATAGAAACGACAAGAACCACACGTGGTATCATAATTGCAAGCGTGATCTGCAGATATACCAAAGAGGTGGGGTATCAAAACAGTTTCATAAGATTGATTAGCACGAAATGGAAGTGCAGTCAGGACGAGGCAAGTGGAAGTATGTATAAGTATATAATAACAAGGCAATGAGTATTTGGAAGGAGTATATCATAAACCAGCGGATCCTTTTCTTACAAGACGGGTTGGCAGAGGAGGGTTAGAGAGAAACGAGACAAATCTCACATCAGGCTACAGCCTCTGAACTGGGGATTTATACATGACTCTGAACGGAACTGCGTGCTCAACTCAGCAGTATACGCTGGGGCGAGGGGCCACATCCACGATCCCCGACAAGGAAGAGTACCGGAAAGTCAATGGCATGATGACAGAAGTTTATATTTCTGTTCCTTGCTGTTGAATAGCTAATTGATGCATTCTCGGGCCGTCAACGCCACCCAAGAATAACCCAATTCTAGATGTGGTGACATACATGATCATCAATCTCGGCATCAAATATCGGACCGTATCCACCAGCTTAGACCTTATTCTTGTCTACCCGACCGTTAGAACCAGGCCCCAGTCAAGTACCTCCTTGTAAAAGAGCCTGAAGGTCCCTGCGTGAAAATGCCCAAAACGTGTTTAATCGACAGGATACTGCTCCGAGCAAACTGTCGGCCCAACAGCGATTGGTGCAACCCAAACGGGCTGAAGTAGCGCCGACTCAATGCTTTTTCGTTGAGCGATACGAATAGTTACTAGGTGGATGATTGAGCCTGCAGATCTCACCGGCATCAAATGGAATCGGTAGAAGAATTGAAACATATATCGCTTGTACTTGATTATTGCGTTTCCTGACACTACTGAAAAAAAAAAAACCTGGCCGCTCATGACTGGCCTCTAGAGTTGTTGCCAATACCTTTGTCAAGCAGCCTCCCGGCGCTGTGGCCCTTTTTCTTTTTTTTTTTTGTGTTGCCCAGATAAAAGATGTAGTATGTCCGCGAACGCCAAAACAAATGTCTTGGCCGAAGACGCCTTGCCATGCCTCTATTATTTCTTACTTCCACCATAGCTGCATTTCCGCCTTTGCCTACGCTTCCTCCGGAATGCCGGACAAGAGACCCACTCTCAAGCGGTGGCTCTGTTGATTTGGTTAGCAATAGAGTTATGATGCAGCCGGGGATCTCCAGGAACCTACAAATGGCAATTTCGGTATCACGACACCCAGTGTAGCAAGAAAGTTGATGGTGAAGTAGGTCAAATCATAATGGGTGTAGTGAGTGCTGAGCAAGAAGAGTACAATGGGTACACTGAGTAGGAACTTCTTGGCAGGCGTGTACTGAGCTCCATCGTCGATTTGTTCCCACATGTTCAGATTGTCATAGGCGCCGCTGTTGAACTCGAATGGCGTACCCCGGACCCAATGAAACATTAGATACGATCCAAACATGTACGAGATATTTGTCAAAGTCCAAGAGGTTTCCTGTGACACGCCGGGGATAACGTCATAGAAGATCTTGAGAGCGAGAATGAGGACAAAGTGAATTGTCCAAGCACCTAATTATCAGTTGACCACCAGGTTAGCCGTTGTACTAATGTTGGAGTTTGTTTAAATCTTGGGAGGAAAGAGGGTGAAAACTGCCGGCCGAACAACTCTAGGACATGTCGCCACGGGCAGGACGGTTCAAGGCATTCTCGAATTTTGGTCGTCTCCTTTCAACTTACCTTTTGCATTGACCCATTGCGCGTTAAGGTTTGGCAGGGCCGACTGGTCACTCAATTGCTCAATGGGCTCCTGAGGCTCTTGGTAAATCTGCAGGATACTACTAGACCTGCGTCTCCTTGTCTGCTTCTGGTCTGCCATATTTCCTGCTTTGAGGTATGTGTCGCCTCGCCGGGGTTGGTTTGTGCCCGCGTCGTAGGAGACGGTGCGAGGGAGAACTATTGGGGAAGACACTTTGGCGGTATTGAAGGGGTTATCGTCGGTTCGGTTCCCTATCTCGATTACGAGAAACAATCGACGCAGCCGGTTGAGACTACGTGAATGTTCGACAACGTTGAGCGGTGCTGCTGCAGAGTTCGGCCAAGAGGGCTTGCTGGAGGCAGAAATATGTGTATGTAGCTCGGTGGTACAGGCTACGGATGTGCTCGGATCGCAAAAGTCGAGACGTGAATGGATGAAGGCTCGGAAGGAGAAGCAAGCCTTGGGTATCGGAATGCCGAAGGGTGTATAAGACTGGTACTCAAGAAAAATGTATGGCGAATGAGCGTCAGAACTCTAAACGATGGGAATGCGTAAATGTTGTAGCGATGCCGGGGAGGATCGAGACTTTTTGGGGGAGTAGAGAGGGGGGCCTTTTTTAGTGGTGGATTGGCCCGGGTGTTACAGTAATGTACAGCATGTACCGGGGGGGGGGTGGTGTTTACAGCGACAGTGGCTCGGAGTAAGAGCAAACAAGAAGATCGAAAAGTAGAGAACAAACGAGAGATAATGCAGGCACGTCCAAGGAGTAGAATTGGGGGCCGGCAGCAGTGGGCAGTGGCCAACAAGTGGATCGATCGTGACAGGAAGAAAGTGAAGAGGAAAAAAAAAAAGGTGCGGTGATGCAGAGTTGTGTGAAGTCACGGATACCTGTTATTACGTAGAAGACACGACTGAAAAGTTGGGGAGATTATCTCCATGGCCTCTGTCTGGTTGGAGACATCTGCGACGCGCGGGACCCGAGAGGGGACCAAGACGTGGAGCCCCAGCAATGGCCAGCAGATGCGGATCAATCTGCCAGCTACTAATTGCCAACTAAATTGGAGGCGGCAGCAGCAGCAGCAGCTGGCCTGCGGCAGGTCTTTCTTACCTTTGATGTAGTTTTTAGCAGCCGTACACTAGCGGTTCACCCTTCTCGACCTCAAAAGGAGAAGAGCAGTTGCTGCCTTTTCTCCCTTCATCTTTTTCTCCTTCTTCCATCTTTCTCATCATCATCATATTCTCTTCATTAACCAAGACGGGGCAATGGGGTCTTAAAAAAAAAAAAAAAANAAAAAAGAAGAGAATGCATAGACAAGGACAGGAGACTATGGCCCGTAGACTATACCTAGTACGTAGAAAGTTGAAAGTTCGCTTCTGGGCTGTGCTAGCCTGGAAGAGTCTAAAGGCTCCCTACTCCCATGCTTCCCAGGTCCAAATTGCTAGGCTTGTCCATGCACTTGCTCTCCAACCCCTACCTGCCTACATCTCCCTACGGGTAGCTCGCGAGCTTCCATTCAGGGGCTTGAGAAGGGTTCTATCATTCTATGGGCCCCCCATGAGACTAAAAAGACCCTTCTGGACAGTCTGAACAGCTCGTCCCCAACTGGCTTCGACTGTTCATAGCTTCGTCGAGTTCGGCACGTGTATGACCCGGTCACCTGCAGCCCCATGCACAAGAAAGATAGCTCCAGCTGTCACTAGCCAGATGCGTCTGCTGAGGATTAATATAACTTGCATTGTATCTAAAGATTTGTAGGATACCATGTATATGTTCCTTGACATTGACTCCTTTTTTTTTTCTCGATCCAAGATGGAAATGCAACTTTTATGGAAGCTTGTGGAAATTAGCACAGCCATCGTCTTTAATAAGGCTGCATGTCTTGAACTCCAACCGCCGCTACCCTGAGGTTGGGAGTATCTCCTTAAAAGGAAGCAATGGCAGACTCATCAACATGCAAAGAAAAAATGATGCCAAGAAGTAAAGAAATGTAATATAAGCGATCGTTTGCAAGCGACATGTACATCATGTAGGCCTATCTTGAGAGCATGCGCATGGCCTGTAATAGTGGACTACTATATCTCATTCGCGTTCCACAACGATGCCGCCGCACCTTAGGGAATGAAGTCATGGTCAACGTTAGTGGATTCTTGCCGCAGTTTATCCGGCGCAAATCTCAGTCGGGCAATATTTTTTGCAAGGAAAATGATTCTGAATCAGATACAAAGACAAAAAAGGGTTCCGTGAACATTTCAAGCAACTTTGCATCTTCTCAAGTGCCATTAATTCATTGCATCTCCTGGTTGAGTAATAAAAAGTCACTGTAGCAACGGTACTTTCCTCGTCCGTGGTTGGCATTGATGCTTGTTCCTTCCTGGTGGGCCGGCTAAAGAAGTTTTGAGACGCGCTGCGGTTGCACGCTGCTGCAACCAAAAATTCTAAGCAACATCCATCTATTCAGCCTTAGATCGCATATTTTGCACATTTCTGAGCCTGTGGATTCAGACACTCGGAATGGAAACCGCCGGGGATGCGGCTGGGCCGAATAGTCCAAACGGGACATCTGGTCAGAAAAGAACGCGCGCTTATGGCGAGGAGCTGAAGGGCTTGACACCCGATCGTGAAAGCGACGCTGGCGAGTCGCCGTCGGCGAAAAGACGCAGAAGAAGCTCGTCTCAACCAGAGCCGGAAATACCACACGCAGATGACCTAGATGATGGCGAGATAGTGGAACTGTCCGTCGCTGGTCAAGCTGCACCTCACCCAGAGACTGCTGCAATTCCAGAGGCAGAGGTACCACAGCATGATTCTAATGGTCAGCCGGAAACAGGTTCGCACAACGAGCCAACACCTGGTGCGAGCTCCGCAGAACAGCAGTCTGCGGACTCTCATCCAGCTGTAGCCCAGACAACCCCAGATGCTTCCGGTGCGGAACCATCCAAGTCCAAGCAGGACAAAGATAAGTCCCACCCTTCCAGTGGTGGTGGGAACCAAGGCGTAGGTCTAAGCCTACGGACCTCATTTGCAAAGGCACCGCCCAAGGCGAACCTTTCCAAGAGTGAGGCCAACTCACCAGCCATTGTCTCCTTCCCGATGATGAACAAGGATTGGAAGATCAACGCAGCTAGATTCGAACAGCTGGCCTGCGATAATGAGCTGAATCACGGCGAACGCTTCAGACCGCACTTTTGGAGAAACTGGATGCGGGACAATCTTGAGCGCATTATCCTCGCATTCCAGGAAGAGAATGAATTCTCCTTGACATCCGTGAGTAGTTCTGCGAAAAGGGTCAAACTGATTCGTAATGCTCTGAATGCCCTTGTCGGCCCGTCAGGAGGTATCTTGATAGGGACCAAGAAGGACAAGGCCTCAGCACGGAGCGCTGCGAAGCCAGTCTTTGATGAGCTCACTCCTAAGATGATCAAACTCGTCAATGATTCCTCAAAGCAGCACGAGGTTGTATCTGGGGAAAGTACAGAGCTTGTCGAATCTTCCTCAAAACAGCAGTATACTGTACCTGAGGACAGTACGACGCCCTCAGAACACCAGGTCACGTCCCCTGATGATGGCGAAGATGAAAAGAGCGTTCATGTGGACGTCTCTGCCACAGAGATCCCAGCACTTACTGCAGATGAGCTCGAACATCGCAAGCTTTATTTCCCCGGTTCAGAGAACAACCCACTCTTCTGTACACATTGTGTGAGCACGAAGCACGCATCCGACAGCTGCCCTCAGCTTCTCTGTCAGTTTTGCGGAAGCGCTGAGCATACGCGTTACGGATGCCCCACGAAGCAAAGATGTACCAAATGCCATCAGATAGGCCATGCGAACACCACATGTCATGAGAAGATTGCCTTGGCCCGAGAGGAGAGAGAGCCATGTGCCATTTGCGGGTCTCCTCATACTGAGGATCAGTGTGTTGAGATTTGGAAAAGTTTCAACCATACCGAGGTGGAGATCAAAAAGGTGAAAACAATCCCATGCTTCTGCTATACCTGCGGAAATGAAGGCCATTATGGCCCTGAATGCGGGCTCGCTACCAAAGGAAGCGACTTGGCCATTGATTTGCGCATCTGGTCCTCAGCTATCCGCGACCTCTATGTTGATCCGGCCAGCCCCAACTCTGCCATCGCCTGGATTGGGTCAGATCCGAGTCAAATCAAACCGGGTCAGAACTTCAATATTCGAGGACAGGCCACGAAGAAGACGCACATTTATTATGTTTCCAGCGACGATTCTGACGACGGTTTCATCCATGAGCCAGTCCAAAAAAGTGGTTCTCGTGGCAACATCCAAATCAATACCAACCTCAGCCGCCCTGGTCCGCCGAAGCGCGGTGGGTTTAGTAGCCTTCGCCGCCAGGACAGTCAGCGTCGGCAGGGACAACGTGAGTTCTCTCCTCCGCCTCCGCCGCCGCCGGCATACTACCAAGCCAACGGATCCTGGAACCCACCGCTCCCCTCTGGACCTCCACCTCCCATGCCGGAAGCTTACACATTCCAAGGCAACACGGCGTCGCTGCCGCATCCGCCACCCGGAACTCTACCTCCCCGACCGTCAAATCAAGGCTCAAGGAATGCCAGTAGTGGGAGGGGCCATCGGCCTCGCCGCGGTCGAGGCCGGGGGAATAGATAAAAATTTCTCAAGACGGCAAACATAATATGAAGACATGCCAGTTGACGGCGACCTACGCGCTAAAATTCATGGATGAGACGTTGAAGTTGCAACGTTAATTTTTTTTAAAGTAAAAAGTCCAATGAGGGCGACTGAGCAAAGTGCAGATATGATGATACCATTAGCCATCGAACGAGGTCTATTGCCAAGGGACACGACGCTTTTTTCTGCTTTTCACAGTAGTGGTGATCAGTCTGCTTCGCTGGCGTTAAATACCCATAAAATATTTCTCTGAGCATCATATCTGCAAATATTGAGAGGATGTGCATACAATACCACTGACGTTTTGTACGCTCACATGACATGCGGTGCATAAACAGCTAGTCTCACAGTATGCACATGTATCCAGATGGGACCCACCAGACTCATAGAAACGCGATTGTAATAAGCGATTTGCTAATTGCTTCAAATACCATAGATTTTGTGAATGACGCGACTGTGAACTCGGGGCTATGGTCTTTTTCGCATGCCGGATATATTCTGATGAACTACGTTCTACGTGCTACTCAGTGCGGGTCTTTACGGGAACTGCCGATCCAAAGGAAACGAGAATATGTGGCTTGAGGGGGTCTTAATGATTCCCAATAAAATCTCCAGCTCCAAGTTGCCAGGTGACCGGCCCAGGAGTATATGTTAGCGGCCTCGACGCAACTAAAATGGCTCCCGAGCAAATACATTAGCATGAAATAGAAGTGGCAACTTCCCAACATTTGCATCGACATGATATTTTCAAGATACATGATACTTGCCAGAGAGCTTCGAGGCATCACTTTGGATATTTCTCCTATCTTCCTGCCTGGCACCAAAGCTTTTTCGGTGCCAAAACTTCCCCCGCGAACCAAGGGGATATGAGAATGAATCATGGCCTCCTTTAAATGTTTCGGCGAATTGCCTCTAGAGTTGCAAAGAGAGATATGGGGCTTTGCCCTCCAGGATCCAGTTCGACTCCCTTGCGTCTTTCGGGGCCATCAAGAGCTCATACCGCAAACCGTGGATCTTGAAGCGACGGCGCTGCTCCACGCCTGTCGTGAATCTCGCTCCTTGGCGCAATCGCTGCTTCAGTTTCGCAAAACCAACGACGGGGTATATCTGGAGCCGTTTACGGAATTCGACCCGGAACTCGACGTTCTCTACGTCCCGGAACAGCACGCCACCGACCTTTGCGATCCAGAGTTTCTCAGAAGCTGGCCGGCGCACAAGCGCATTCGGAAGCTGGCTCTGGACGAGTTCCTGTTCTCGGAGGAGGCATTTGTAGGGGCATTCGCCGCGGCGCTCTTCTCCTTCAGGAGCCTCGAGACACTGTCGCTTGTGTTTGCTCTGGGTGCTCTGGGAGGTCGCCGATTCCTGCTTAGTGACTTTGAGGTCAACGAGCGTATATGGACCTCGCTGCCTGGGCATGTCATGAGGGAGGACATTCTCCCAATCGAGGCTGCAGCCTGCTATCGGGTCATTCTCTCCATCGAACTTCACGATACTATCCCGACCGCAGCTGATGGGCACGGGGGCCTGCCATTTGATTTGATACCTCAGAAGATGGTATTAATTGGCAAATGCGCAAAGAAGTCGTCGTCACGCATATGGCCGCGTCTGTCGCACCTATTCAGGCGGAGGTCATCAGTACAAGCATAGTGGTTGGTTGACTTATCTATTTCATCCTGTGCGGCAGTGTGGCATTTCATGATAAGATGCCGGCAAGAGGAAGTGATACTCAAACGTTACCATAAGTTCTGTTAGTTGCTCATTGACACGTACATTGTCCACTCCGTCACTCATCAGTCATGAAAACTGCCTCCCTTATACCTGTCTTTTTACCATATTCCTTGCGCCGATTGGGAATGTCAAATCATCCGCGAGCAATGGCATACTGCAATGTATTTCGTGTTCGTTACGTCTTGCATTAGTTGTGAGCAAGCGACTTTGGAGAAATCAACCACAACAGATGATTATTTTTCGAAAAAGAGTAATGGCATATTTTGCTTGCAAGCAGCACTGCATTTCTAAGCTCATATTGTATCTACGCCATTGATCCTGTTGCTGTCTATATAGGAAGCTGTAGAGGCGTAACCGTGTGAGCCGCGTGCAATTTCACTACTGCGATATGGATGCTGCCAATATCAAGATCGACTGAACTGCGGGAAAAGACTTTACCCGCAGCAGCTGGTCGGAGCTCGTTCGGAAAGGTAATTCTGTAAGGACATCACAAGACACCTCGGCCTAGGAAGATAATGAAATGAGTTTCATGAGGCAATCGAGTATAGATAGCATCGTGCCTTGTTTGATAACCAAGCTATATAGTAGTAATAGCCTGGGCGGCTGGATGTGGCTTGGCGTCGAATTCGTATTCGTGTTGCCTCATGGTCGGGTTGGACAAGTCGATGTCGAGTATCCCAGTCACCGCCTGCCCGTTGCTTCTCGCAATGTACCGACGCAGCCATCATGATTGGTCAATGGTGGGGGTGGGGAGCTTGACTACCGCTGGGTCGCTAAAATCGGCAGAAGACTGCAGATTGGGCATTTTGATGCTACTGCTGCAGGACAGCGAATCTCTGTAGGTACAGCACAGCTCACCACAGAAAGCAGCGTCGGCAGGTACCCATTTTAATTTCCCCTTGGTTGCTTTGGGTCCCTTTTCTCCCTGGCCCCCGGGTAGTACCAGACAGACACGATCACGGCCCCTTTGCGAGTCCTCTTTTTTCTCTTGCGCGACCGAATACGATTTCCTTCTTGTTGCTCACACATCATTGTCACTTTTTCTCTTCTCTGACATATTGATTGCCAAGCTATCGTGAGGGTTTTGCTCATATAAAAGTGCCTGTCCCACCCGACCGTGTACTTTCCCATCTCACTACTGCCCACTAAAGTTCCCTTTCCCTTTCACCGCAAAGCAACCCTCCCACAAATCATTCAACATGGCTGCTAGAAAGGTCGAGCTCGAGAAGCAGGATCGTGAGCGCGATGCTGCCTTCAACAAGGCTATGCACGGCAACTCGGCTGCCGCTACTGGTGGTATTCGTGCCATGTTCTCCAAGGGTGCTGACGCAAAGAAGGCTGCCGTCGACGAGTACTTCAAGCACTGGGACAACAAGGCTGCCAAGGATGAGACTGAGGAAACTCGCAAGGTATGACAAAAATAAAAATAATGCTCAACGGGAAATGTCAGTCGAGACCAATGTAATTAACTTGTTTTCAAATCACAGGCACGAACGGCCGAGTACGCTACTCTGACCAGGCACTACTACAATCTCGCGACCGACTTGTACGAGTACGGCTGGGGACAGTCCTTCCACTTCTGCCGCTACTCCCACGGCGAGAACTTCTACCAGGCCATTGCCCGCCACGAGCACTACCTGGCTCACCAAATCGGCATCAAGGAGGGCATGAAGGTGCTCGACGTTGGTTGCGGTGTCGGTGGACCCGCTCGTGAGATCGCCAAGTTCACCGGTTGCCACGTCACCGGCCTCAACAACAACGACTACCAGATCGAGCGTGCCACCAACTACGCTCAAAAGGAGGGTCTGGCGCACCAACTCAAGTTTGTCAAGGGTGATTTCATGCAGATGGATTTCCCCGACAACAGCTTCGATGCTGTCTACGCTATCGAGGCCACAGTTCACGCACCTGAGCTGTCGGGTGTCTACAGCGAGATCCTGCGTGTCCTGAAGCCTGGCGGCATCTTTGGTGTCTATGAGTGGCTCATGACCGACAACTACGACAATGAGAACTTGCACCACCGTGAGATTCGTCTCGGTATTGAGATTGGTGATGGTATCTCCAACATGGTTAAGGTGTCGGATGGTCTCGAGGCTATGAAGGTTGCCGGATTCGAAATGCTGCACCACGAGGATCTGGCAGACCGCCCCGACCCCTTCCCTTGGTACTGGCCTCTTGCTGGTGATTGGAAGTACATGCAGAGCGTCTTCGACACCTTTACTATCGTCAAGATGACCAAGTGGGGCCGATGGACGGCGCATCGCTTCACTGGTCTCCTAGAGATGATCAAGCTGGCCCCGGCCGGAACACAAAAGACTGCAGACAGCTTGGCGTTGGCAGCTGACTGCCTTGTCGCCGGTGGCCGTGAGAAGCTCTTTACGCCAATGTACCTGATGGTCGGAAAGAAGCCCGAGAACTAAGCATTTAGCCAAAGGCATTACGACGGTACGGCTCGGGTGGGGGGAATCAATAGGGGAATCAATCGGGAATACGATGCATCTGAAAAGGGCATTCGGGGCATTGTCAGCAATGACATTCATGAGATGATGGAATTCGCAAGTGAAAAGATTATTATTGACTTTAATAGAGAATCGCATCGGCCAGGGCTGGGTTTGCCTGCCTGCCAAATCAGGATCAGGGGGTGGACAGGCAATAGGCGGCGGCGTCGATTTCTTGTATATACGATACCTAAGAAGCATCAAAGCAGCATTACAGCATTTGTAATAATGTTATTATCATCATAATAGATATGATTAAATGACCTTGTTCTTCATTCGAGTTGTAATATAGTGTCACCATATGTCAATTTGTCGTCTGGTACAGGTTCGCGATATTTTTGGTCCTCATCTAGGACAATGCATGCTATCGGTCCGAGTCTCTCATGTCCAATTTTGTTGGTTTAAAGCGTCGATAAGCCAGCCGCACTTAGTAAGCTCCGGCCGTGGGTGGTCCAGGAATCAGGTCAAGGACGAAGAGATGAATAATTAAAAAGACGCTCGTTCTACGCAGTACTTGTTCAATTGTCTGTTGAGAGAGCTTCATCAACCAAAGATGCATGAGAAGTATGTCAGCAAGTGAAGAAAGACAAACTGTCCACCAAATCCGAGGAGTTGTTTACATTGATATCTATGGTCGGGGATTCATTGAGTTTCGTATCCCAATTGAAAATGCCCAGGTCGCGATCTCACTAGACGCTAATCCAGAATGGGCATGGCGCCAGCTCCAATCTGATCCCAACAACTGGACGGTCTCCGTAACTGAGCTCCTGGATACTCCGAAAAAAGTAGAGTGTCAGAAAAATTCCCTCCACCCAAACCCAGGAGCTCCGACTCTGAACCCTTCGCGCCATTCAACCTCATCTCCTTCCTCTTGTGAGAGACTGACAATTTGGGACGGCATAATTGCGGCGGCCTGTCTTTTACTTACCCAGCTCTACCACCTCCCCCTCTTTTACCCGGCCTAGTCCATCTCTCTTCCCTCACTCGACTTGAGAGGTTGTCAGCTCATCAAATCCCACCCGCCGCAAAAATGTCGCGATACCTCCGTCCTGCTGCCCGGGCAGCTGCCTCTGTTTCGCGAGCAACCCCCTTTGCCGCATCCGCCATCCGATCGGTTCCCCGCGCCACTTCCACATTTACTCTGCAGAGAAGGACATACGCAGAGAGCAAGGGCGTCAAGGAGTACACAGTCCGTGAGGCCCTGAACGAGGCGCTAGCTGAGGAGCTTGAGCAAAATGACAAGGTCTTCATCATGGGTGAGGAGGTTGCTCAGTACAACGGTGCCTACAAGGTGACCAAGGGACTCTTGGACCGCTTCGGCGACCGCCGTGTCATTGACACTCCCATCACCGAGTCGGGTTTCTGTGGTCTGGCTGTCGGAGCTGCCCTCAGTGGCCTGCACCCCGTCACCGAGTTCATGACCTTCAACTTTGCCATGCAGGCCATTGACCAGATTGTCAACTCTGCCGCCAAGACCCTGTACATGTCTGGTGGTATCCAGCCCTGCAACATCACTTTCCGTGGCCCCAACGGTTTCGCCGCCGGTGTCGCCGCCCAGCACTCCCAGGACTACAGTGCCTGGTACGGCTCCATCCCCGGTCTCAAGGTCGTCAGCCCTTGGTCCGCCGAAGATGCCAAGGGTCTGCTGAAGGCTGCCATCCGCGACCCCAACCCCGTCGTCGTCCTCGAGAACGAGCTCATGTACGGTCAATCCTTCCCCATGTCCGAGGCCGCCCAGAAGGACGACTTCGTCCTTCCCTTTGGCAAGGCCAAGATTGAGCGCTCCGGCAAGGACTTGACCATCGTCACCCTCTCCCGATGCGTCGGTCAGGCTCTTACTGCCGCTGAGGGCCTCAAGAAGAACTACGGTGTCGAAGCCGAGGTCATCAACCTGCGATCCGTCAAGCCTCTCGACGTCGAGACCATTGTCAACAGTGTCAAGAAGACCGGTCGCCTGGTCTCTGTCACCTCTGACTTCCCTGCCTTTGGTCTCGGTGCCGAGATCCTGGCTCTGACCATGGAGTACGCTTTCGACTACCTCGAGGCTCCCGCCCAGCGTATTACTGGTGCTGAGGTGCCTACCCCCTACGCCCAGGGTCTGGAGCTCATGAGCTTCCCTACCGAGAAGCTGATTGAGGACTACTGTGCCAAGATGCTCAAGGTATAAATTTGAGCTTATGAGGTATGGAGAAGGCTCCGAACTTGTAAAACTCCCGAAACAAGCCAGACGAGGGGAGGGGATATGTATGACGGATATTACCACGATTGCGATAGACTGCAGGGTGTCTTGAGCCATCTAGACGGCTGATTACTGCAACCCACTCCCCTTGAAAACTACACATATACACAAAACTCGATTTCGTTTGATAATTACGGGACGGCGTGGCATAGACGGGCTGGCTAGCATTTCCCACATTCGTCGACAGTGATGAAAAGACGTCGACGGGTGATCTCTCTGTACTTGTAGCCTACGTTAGGCAGGTTAAATTGAAGCCTTTTTTGAATTTGCAAATCTGATTTGGCCTGACATGATAAATACGAATTATTCTTGTTTGTGACTATATATAAGAATATTTACGAAGAAGCTCCAAGGTGCTGGCAAATGAATTGAATTTGTAGCTCAACATCAGTATAAGCGATGCCGTTGCATGAGGTTCTATTGGGCGCAAAACCAAGTATGTATCTAAGTCTATTTCGAAAACTTCCCGCAATTTAAGAGAAGGATCTGCAAAATGTAGATCACCAGCACCGCATCAATCATAGAGAGGTATGCGTTTCCTCCACCTTACCCTCGCGTTCATTCCGTCTCCGTCTACCGGGTTGCGATAAGCCGACATGCTTGAAAAAATGAATTATAACATATAAGTTGTAAACAGTCATCTCGGAGTAAGAATCATATCAATAGCCAATTCAAGTTGGCAGTTTCCAGCATAGATGTATGCGGACAAGAACATATTCAAAACCTTATATATGCCTAATGAAAAATGAACGTGTATATGGCGCAAGATTAGCTCAATTGTATCATGTTCCTTCCCCCTTGTATTTAACGACAAAACAAATCCTAGACGAAAAGGATGATAAAAAAGTAAAACAATAATTTTAAAGTTCCGTGGGAGGAAGAAGTGAGAAAAAGAACATTGAATTAACAGATAAAATAAACCATGAAGAGGCAAAAGTTAAGTCCCTCGAGCCGGATTTGAACCGGCGACCTGTGGATATTCCTGAATTGGAATGGTAGCAATTACAGTCCATCGCTCTGCCAACTGAGCTATCAAGGGCTGGTTGCAAATCAAGTTCAAACCATGCTATATATAGCTCACATTTCTCCGCTTTCTCCATGAGTCTGATATGACTGGCTGTCCGAACTGCTGTCCGAATATTATACACGCCTCTCAACCTCACATGAGTGTTCATTTTATACACTTTGAATCTCAGCATTTAGGCTCCTTCTATACAAGCCGCTAGCTTTCTGATAGGATTTCATTCGCTAGTTTCAGACGTTGAAAAGGCTATTTACAATGCTCGATCCTTTTATAGTTGGGGATCATCCACGCACATTAGCCCCGAGTAAAACGCACAATTTTCTATCTTACATGATTTCTACAATAATATACACCTGAACGCCGACATGCTTCTACTTCGATCTTTTTGTTGTATAGATATGGAATCAAAGCACCTTGGTCCTAGGCCTCAGTCTCCGGAACAGCCCAGTCACTTGGCGTGAGGTGATACGTATCCAGCTGGCTCTTGGTCAACTGTGACGGGCTGCTGGCGAAAAGGTCCTCTCCTTTCTGGTTCTTGGGGAACGCCAAGACATCCCGCACGCTGTCGACATCACAGAGGAGCGAGATGAAGCGGTCCCAGCCCAGCGCAAAGCCAGCATGCGGGGGACAGCCTGCATCTAGGGCATCCAAGAGGTGCTTGAATTGCGCGATACCGCTCTCGGGCATCTTCAAAATCGAACGCATGACTGTTTCCTGCATGGCGCGATTGTGGATACGACGGCTACCACCTCCGATTTCATTACCATTGAGCACCAAATCATAGTGGTCTCCCCTGACAAGCCAGGGCTTGCCGTTCTCAATGTTTTCCCAGTCTTGAGCGGTGAGTGGGTCGATGGGCGCCGTGAACGGATGATGTGTAGCTTTTACACCAGCAGCTCCGCCTTGGCCCTCGCCGGGATCAATGTCGGGAGTGAAGAGAGGAAAGTTCTTGACCCAGCAGAACCTGAAGCCGATGTCGCGCTCGATTAGGCCTTTCTGGACAGCCGCGTCATAGATTGTCTTTCGCAGTCTGCCGAGTTCTGTCCAGCCCTCGCCCTTGAAATCTGTACGCTCACGGGCATGCACAATGAGCAGATCCCCATTTTGCAGGCGCGGCCAATACTTGCTCTCCATGGATGCGATTTCTTCCCCCGCCTGATGGCCAAGGGCGGAAAGACCATTAAGTGGCTTGGACTCATCAAAAACAAACACACCAGGCGCCGATGACGAACCAAACTTCAGAGTAGTCTTGGGCAGGTTCTCCATGAACTCGCGAATAAAAGCCATATGCTCGGACGGCGTATCGTTGAGCTTGAACTGTATCGCTTCCACGATCGGATCCTCCAAACTTGTGATCATCTTTTGGAAATCTTCAGACAATAAGTGTTCAACACGGCAGATCTGCAACCGTTAGCTTATTGGTTGGTCCATATTATGACCCTTTGAGCACATACACTTGTTGGAATACGAAGATCTGGCTTGTCAGTACCAAATTTTTCCATGACCTCCTTGTAGGAGAATTGCACGAGCGGATGGAAACGAAGGTCTCTCAAGGGCCACAACTTAGTGCGCCCCGACCTTTGGCTGTCGGGATCTCTCGACTTATCATATCGTGCGAAAAGTTCGCCGGCTGATGAATAAAGGACTCCCCCAACTTCACGAGGGACTTCGGAAACGCGGAGCATATGGAATACGCTGTTGATGATACCTTCCACTGTTTTCATGACGTCCTTGCGTCTAGCAAATCCCATTTCAATATCCAGCTGGTCGAAATAGTCAGTACTTGTGCTGCTCACACTCTCCCCATTCCACATACCTGGGTGAATTCAGGTTGCCTGTCCGCGCGTGAGTCCTCATCGCGGAAACAGCGAGCAAATTGAAAGTATCTCAGGATGCCGGATGCCATGAGCACTTGTTTAGACTGCTGGGGGCTCTGGGGAAGTGCATATGCTAGTCCTGGCTGGCGAGTGGGAACCAAGAATTCTCTGGCACCTTCAGGGGTTGACTTGAAAAGAACGGGAGTCTCGTATTCGTGGAATGCCATCTTCATAAGGTACTTGCGAGCCTCGAAATTGACACTTGAGCGAAGTGCCAATCGCTTTCGAAGCAAAGGATCGAATCGTAGTTGGAGGTGACGCTGCGACGGCGACCAGACGGCATCTTCAGACACAATGATATCCTTGGAGAACTCATTGAATACTTCCAAGTTATTCATCTGTATATCCCATGCAACTGGCTCAGGAGTTCCTTCGACTTGCTCGTCCTCATCTTTCCTGGCCGGACGTGGCCTGTGTTCGAGAACGCCACCCACCCTCACGGGACTGTAGGCCGGTGTGGCCTTCAGCTTTTGATGCAGATCTTTTACCCATGGCTTGTCCTCATCCTCGCGCACCTTGGACACGATCTGCACGTCTTCTAGGCCGCCCGTGTCGAGGTTGCAGAAGCTAAGCCTCGAGGACTTGTCTCTTCTTTTGCCCAAGAAGCCGTAGAGAGCGACTGTGGACCCTCGCTCAAACCCCGTGACTTGTCCCAATGTACTGTTCAATGGATGGTTTTCATTCCTTTTACCGTCGGTTTCCTGAGGGCTGTCAACAGGTTGCTCTGGTGTGCCTGCCGTGGCAGTAGGCTCAAGAGTCTGTTCCCCGGAAGAGATATCATTCTGTTCTTCCGGGACGACATCCTCAGAGGTGGTGGTCTGACTGATCCACCTCAGCTGTTTTGGGCGCGCTCTCAATGAAATGCAGTGAGTCACTGGGCTGGCGGCCGGGACATAAAGTCGGCGCCTTGCGCCCGAGAGACACCGCAGAGCAACACTCCTCATAGTGGCAGATTATCAAGACTGGTCTCAACGCCCACTACACATCCATTGTGAGAATGAGTGCCTCGAGGAAGGGATTTGATGGCTTGATACTAATGTAGATAGACGCGGATTGGGTAACGAAGGTATGCGGCTGCTAAGCTCAATGCTCAATGGCCACTAACAACTAGGCTGGTGGGCTTCAGTGGAGTGGGCTGCAGTGGGCTCACCTTTGCGCTGGAGCCAATAGTGGACTAATTGACTGCATCGGAAGCCCTTTAGGTTGGAGACGACCTCCCGCCCTCGAGCGGCGGATTAAAGCGGCCCCGCGCCGGCGCAAATTTCCAATTGCTTCAAGAAGGTCTGGAGCTCGGTAGCTTGGTAGGAACTTTTTCTTTTCCTCTTCATCCTTCCAATTCAATACAAAGTGAGTCCCTACCCTGAACCGCTCAAGCCTGCCGGGGGCCCAACCTGAAACTCTCTACTGTACGTTTTACTAACCAATCCCTCTTTTTTGCAGATGATGAAAGCCGCGTGTTCCAAATGATGTCGTTCTGCCTTTCCGAACTTCAGAACTCTCCCCTCGGGGCTTAAGTGGTTCGGTTGTGAGGAAGGGTCAGGACTATGAAATAAGCGTTCGGCACACCGACCTTGTACAATACGGACGCGACTACGGCAGCTCTGATTCCTATTTGAATCTGGTCAAGGACTGATCTGAGGTGTTTCTGTTTGTGCTAGCACTTGAAACGGCTGGGCGAACACCATTGATCCGTACCCATGCTATCAAGGTGTCTACTCACAAGAGTACCCCTCAATCAAGAGTGAGTCAAAATCAGTGGTCAGGACTCACCTCCTTACCGAGTTGAAAGCAGCTGTGAAATCCCCCCAAAGAATAAAAAACCAGACATACTTGTGTCATTACATGTTATGGCGCAAGTGTGCCATTTGTCTTGGTGATGCATGTACTTTGTTTCCTACCATTTACCTTACCTCCCCACACCACCACCTATAGATAGGTATTACATTAGTATGTCGCGGAATTGCGAGGACAGCGATTCCCATGTCCTCGATCCGTCGATTGAATGGGTATATATAGCCTAATCCAATTCTTTTCATTGCAATTGGCACCTTTCTTGGGAAATCTGACCTCGAATGACGCAACTCCGACAATATGCTACCTATTGCTCGGCGTTGGCAGTAGACCAAAAAAAATGACCTTGCTCTTGGCATGGCACTGTACTTCGGAAAATGTGCATCATTAACAACGGTGACGCGCAACACTTGCGTATCTTGATGCCCGTTGCGCTAGGTAATCAAAGGTGTCGGGGACAAAAGGCTAAGAGACCCCGCCGAAAGCTCTTGGGGCCCACGGAGGGAACATTGAACCCCTTACGGGCGCTGGACTCAGCACCAATACGATTGGACGGCAGCGCGGCAATGGATCGATCTACAGTACATTAGGAGATATGTACGTATTGTGACGGGCGCCCACTCAAAGTGCTGCTAGTCGTACGCTCGAGCCAGCCCAAGCCCATTTACCCACGTACCTATCTACCCAACCTGAACCTGATCGGCTGCTTGACCTTAGCAGAGAGACTTGCCCGGAGGCCAGTCTGATAATTAGATTGACTTTAACTACCAATACCCTTCCTTCAGGCCCCTACGCTCATTTACAATACCTTGCCAGACTTGCCTTGGTGCGCTCCGCCACTGCCTCTCCCAGCAGCCAGCGCGCCCCCGATCGCGAGCGAGCGACAAAAGTGCTGCCAAACTTTACCTGCCAACGACTATGCTGTAACTAATCTATATCATTAATCTCACTCGGAAAGAAGAACCAAGAAACAAGCACCACGTTACACAAACACACACATCAGTCCTCGTGATGACCTCCAACTCATGATCTGTCCTGCCTATCATTGATTCTTCACCGCCAACCGACCGACCGATCGACCTTCCTCCAATCTTGCTCCCGAGTCGCCGGCCCCGAGGCTACCGACGTGACGTCGCAAACCTCCCGATCGCCGTCGTCTTTGTTCACGAAAATCTTGAGCACAACGCCGGAATTGTTTGCTTCGCGCCTGCCGCCTCCTTTCCACTAGACGACTACCCTGCAAGAAAGAAACACTTCTTCAACTTTGCATTGGCTTCTTTCAACCTGTCGACCACTGCCCTTCCTTGCCTTGGCCTCAGTTCGCCATGGCCAGCTCCTTTGAAAAATCCGTCAAAGGCGCGACCAAGATAAAGGTAATTCCCCATACAGGCTTGACACGTAGAGTGGCTGCCACTCGGGGCAATCGCTTACCATGGCACATGGATTTAGGCCGCGCCGCCCAAGACGAAATACATTGAGCATATTCTGGTTGCTACACACTCCGGCGAGGCCGGGGTCGCGGAGGTCTTTAGAGCTTTACAAAATAGGTTGCGCGACTCTACATGGACCGTCGTCTTCAAGAGCTTAATCACCGTTCACCTCATGATCCGTGAAGGCTCTCCCGATGCCACGTTAGCGTACCTTGCCCGGCATAGGAATATGCTGGCTATCAGCTCTTTTACCGATGGTGCGTTGTCCGCGCTGCGATTCGTATCTTGGTTGCGAGCCAGAGACTGACCCCTTCGGATAAATAGCGCAAACTCAAGGTCGAAATATCAGGCATTATGCTGCCTATCTCACAGAACGAGCGAGGGCGTACAGAGATACAAAGGTGGACTGGGTCAGGACCAAGGAGACCCGGTTAGAAAAGCTCTCAGTAGAGAAGGGCCTCTTGCGGGAGACCGAGGTCATACAGCGTCAACTGGCTGCTCTACTGAAGTGTGATGTAGGTGCTGCTAAGCTCTGGCAAGGGCCATTCAGCTGATATACTCTGCACAGGTTCTCGATGAGCCTGAGAACGAAATTACCATCACCGTGTTCAGACTTTTGGTTCTCGACCTGCTTCAGCTATTCCAGGTACTCAATCAGGCCATGATCAACATCCTCGGCCACTTTTTCGAGATGTCAAAACCAGATGCTGAGCGTGCCATGGAAATCTACCGAACGTTTACCCGTCACACCGATTTCGTGGTGCAGTACTTACAGATAGCAAGACAGTATGAACACCACACACGAGTCGAAGTGCCCAAATTAAAGCACGCACCGGTCAACCTGGGCCGTCAACTCGAGGACTACTTGAAGGACACAGATTTTGAAGTTCACCGGAGGCAATATTTGGCCGAATTGGACGTCAAGAAAACCGGAGCTAGCAGCTCAAAGACAAACAAGGCTGATGCGGTCGCCACGGCAAAGCAATTTCCTGATGCCAGTACGAATGGCGCATCTTCTCAAGGAACATCACAGCCGCCTGGAGCTGCGAAGGGCCCGGCCCCTGATCTGATCGATTTCTTCGACTCTATTGAGCAAAACCAGCAACCCATGGCAACAAGCCCGCAGCAGCTACAGCAACAGCAGCAGCAGTCATTGCCGCAACCAAATATCGGGAACCCGTGGGCTACGGCTGGGCAGTTCAACAACATGCCACAGCAAACAGGCCAGCAGTTCCCGGCCAACAATTTCATGCCCCAACAAGATGCCTTTTCCAACGGGTTTCAGCAGCAGAATACGGGTGCCTTCAACGTCCAACAGCAGCAAGTACCGCAGCAACAGCAATTGCAGCCAAACTTTACCGGCGCCGGCTTTGGAGGGTATACTCCGCAACCCCAGCAGAGCTTCAGCCCCGGTGGTCTTGCCCCTATACCACAGAATTCTGTGGCTTCCTTCCAAACAGGAACCTTGTCGCCTCCCATGCAAACTGGACTGCAACCGGGCCAGCAAACGACGAACCCCTTCCGGCAATCGATGCTCATGGCCAACCCAACCGGCATGTCAAACCAGATGCCGTCCTTTACAAATGCTGCCAGTCCGCCAGCTGCTTCTTTACCGCAGCGCCAGTCTACGAATCCCTTTGCGCGGTCTTCGTCAAGTCCTTTTGGAAATAATGGTTCTACTTCTCCATTCCAGTCACAGCCTCAACAAGCGCCAGCAGCCCAACCGTTGCAGCCTGCGCAAACGGGTACAAACCCTTTCGCCAAGAACTTTGGAGGTGGCACAGTTCAACAAGCCCAGCGACCTCAAACAAGCAGTGGTGCGCTCATGCCCCAACCTACTGGAAGTACAAACCCGTTTCGCCAGGGCGATTTCATGAACCACCAGACGGGACTGGGTTGGCAGCACAACCAAGGAAGAATAGGGGGCGGCTTTGATGAGATACAGTCGACACCAGTCTTCCCGAGGCCCAGCACGGGGGCAGCTTGGCAGAGCTAATAAGACTCTGATGCTTACACCTGAAAGTTGAACCGTAAGCACCAACTGACAAATAGCAGATTCAGTCAATGAATAGTCACTGGTTTGTCAACGAGAATGTCTCTGCTCGTACAAGTGGAGTGTTTGTCAAATGTAAAGTGTAACATATATCGCGACCCGGTGGAGGGTGTCAGGCATAGAAGCGTGGCGTTTCTTGGGTTGTCCTTGGGTCTTTCCTTGCTTGAATACACTTTTGCGAGGCGCGACTGCCCATGACCTTGGAGCAATCATGACCCAATGGCCATCATTACATTGCCCTGTCCGCTTGCAGCTTGTATCGTGATGTTTGTGAGACCAGCAATCAAGTTTCAATAGCAATTTTTGACCAATAGAAGTGCTACCAAGCAAAATATATTTCCTGTCAAACTGAAACGCTAGCAATATACAGACGTGCCGGTTCGTGACTCACGCGTTGCAAACTAAAAGTTGATAGATTATTGATCTCCCTATATATCGTCAAGTCGTACGTATTATGTCCTATCTTTGTCACGGTGATCTCTTTCCCTCAACGACCCGCATTCACCTTGTCAAATACAGAACCAATGTTTCTAGTCGGAACACCCTTCTTGGCCGTGGCTGGATCCATGTCATCCAAGTCCTTTCCTGAATCAGCGCGAGTATGTCCCTTTTGGTAAGTCGCGCCCTCCATGGCAGCAGTGGCAGCAGCCGTGGCGGCGGCAGACTGGGCGCCGCCCTGGGTGCCCATGTTGCCCGCGACTCCACGAGTGCCGGTAGTAGCGCTGCTGCCCATGTTGCCCGAGGCCGTGTGGCCCGACGACAAGATGTTGCGGAAGCCCTTGTTGCTGCCGGAAAAGGAGGCATCCGAAGTGTCGGGCACGCCCTCGAAGCGGTGGTGGTCGTGCTGGCCGCCCGCGCGGGTGCCGCCGTGCTGCTGAAACTCGGACATGCTGATGGCCGGCAGCGTCGAGGTGGCGTGGTGCTGGGCCACGTTGTGGTGCGTCTCGTGGATCGGCACCGTCGTGTGCACCACGTGCGGCTCGACCGTTTCCTTGTGGATGACGGGCTGATAGGTCTCGTGGACATGACTGTAAGAGAAAGAGAAAAGTTACAAGTGTCAGTCAGATTTTGATAACAAGGTGAAAACAAGTGTCTATCGTAATTATGAAAGTGTCTCACTGGTGAACGTGTTCGCCCTGGACTACGGGAGCATGGCTCTGCGTCTGAGTAGTCTCCATCCGTCGAGACTGGTCCGCAAACTTGGCAGACTCGGCATCGAGGGCTGCCCGGGTTTTGGCTTCATCCCGGTGGTCGAGCTGTCGGTGCTCTGTCTGGCCGAGATTGTGGTGGTGCTGTTCCGAAAGGACCTCACGCTCTTGGATCGGTTGGACGGTATGGTGGTAATGATCCTGTTGTTTTGTGATATATGATTTAGTATCTATTCTGCTAGATTATATATGTGTATTGGCTGTATCTTCCAATAACAACCAAGCAGAAGCCAAACAGACTTTAGAGGACTGACCTGATGGATTTCCTTGTCAATGGCAGTGTTGATTTCCTCATGCTGCGAAGGCCGGACGGTCTCATGTTGCACTGCCGGGTTGACACTCTCATGAACGGTTGTGTCGTGATGTCCAGACTTGGACATGAAGTTGGAGATGACTTCCTTGGTCTTGTTCATTGTGACCAAAATTTCACTGCTGGGATATAGTTTGTTGGGGAAAATATGTACCTATAAGCTGTTGTTCAATGAACATGAAAGTCTGGAAAGATTGCCGAGAGCAGGCAGACCTTATTATCCACGAGCCGTCTCCCCCAGGATCTGTTTGTTATTACATGATACTTCCGTCATTGACCATAGCAACCAACCATCTCCCGAGTCTATCTCCCAGACGATCCTCTATTTTCCCCGACTTGGATAGAAGAACTCAAAATTGTGCCTCGATCGAATTCAAGATAGGCTGGCCGATTTGCCGTTTGAACTTGGCAGTGCGGATAACAGGATATTCTTGGTCTGTCCCTGCGCCGTCCGTTACCACGCATTTCCGCATTTCTTAAAGCTTTGAATTTCCAAGATTCATCTAGATTACATCAGGTTTAAATGATGCACAATGAGGCCATTTGGTCGTTTGCCATGTGAAGTGAGGGGTGTTCATGGCGCAACTTTGAGGTGGATTATAGAACTAGGAGAGGTGTCATTGGCTTTGGTCCAAGTATAACATATAATACTAATCATTTAGCGCATATAATGAAATTAGACAGCTTCTCTCAGCACGGAGTGAAAATAATGAATGTAATGAATGACACTATTGTGATCGAGTGGTCGAGACTTGCTGTTGTCATGATGCTATGCATCATTCCCAAGTCTAGTTCAAACCTTAAAACGGTACGGATTCCAGCGGTTCTATCCTCTGTTGACGTGGGGGACCCGTTGGTCAAGAAGGACACCAGAAATACTTTTTGTCTGTTTGAGGCCTCGGCCAGCGGCGGATCATCCGGACCGTCGAGTGAATTGGGTTTCTGCCTAGGAGACTAAGCATCATAGGCACTCGCTCATGTCTTGATAAAGTTTAACGAACATGGTGACGATGGTCAAAGTGTTCAATCAGCTTTGAAGTTTTGCTGTTAGGTGTGGTCCAAATCTGTGTGTGTTTCAGTCAAAATCCGAAAATGCGCCTTCGGTAAATCAGGATACCCAGCTCTTGGAAGGATACAGATTCACTACCCAATGAGATCATATTTCATTGACAATAATACTGTCCGCTAAATTGTTTGAAAACTCATGTCAATGAACGGTACTGGACACGACTGGCTCTCGGCAAAAATTTATGGTTGCAAACCATTTTAAACTCTCGCAATGACTGCGCTTCAAATGCCTGCCCCCAACTTGTAGGCACGTAAAGGGTGTGAGGTGTCGCAATTGATGGAAACGCACCAATGAAATGACTTTAATATTGTAGTTCCTAGCAGCCCAAGAAGATTAGTCCTTGAAAGCTATTCAAGTCCTCTTGGGCCCCCCCCCCCCCCCCCCAACTCTGTGGCGTCGGGACTTTCCATGCTGACATGATGAGAGCCGAGAGCATCAATCTACATTCAAGCAAGCTCCTTTGCTCTGAAACTAACACTGGGGAGTATGACTGAGTGGTTCTGAGTCGTGGGATCGACTGACATCATCCGGTCCCTGGAACTCAGTGTTCTGCGCAACCTAGAAAGAAGTTATACGCGGTGAAACATGAAATTTTGTGCTTTCAGATACTTGTAATTGGCCAATCATACTCTTTATGCCGATGGATGTCCGACCCAATACGTGGCTTCACATATCCTGTAGCGGAGATAGACCGCTTGTAACCAGTTCGTGACATAGCACCCGCCGGCGCCGAGGGCAGGCGTTGCGAGTAAGCCGAGCAATCTCAGTCAACTTTCCCGGGGCCCCAATCGGCCATCACATCTGCCCTCCATGTCGCAAAAGGCGAGAGACATCGTGGATAGGATCAGGGGTAGATTCAAGAGGATGATGTTGCGGAGGAGGATGAGGAAGAAGTCCGAGTTTGGCGACTGGGGGAACAGCGGCCCCATGGTACCTGATCGTGCCACCGACGATCATATCGCGGATGTGGCGCCGGACGAGGTGCAAACAACTGCTATTGCTGCTGCTGCTGGAGGTGAAGGCGGCGGCGGCGGCGGCGGCGGCAGTAGAATCATTATCAACGAACCAGCGCCGAATCTAAACGATGTCCGCATCGAGTATCCGGAGCCCTACGACCTGGGAACCGTCCGGACTAGCGAGTTGGCACCGAACCTCAATGATGTCCGGATTGCCAGTTTCGCGTCAAATGACTTGAGGACCGCCGTCATCGCCGTGCATGAGCCTGATCCAGAGCCAGAGCCAGAGCCTCAGCAGCGTGAGCCCGCAACTACTACGCGTGTGCCTCAGGTTCGGTTCCAGGATGATCACGAGGCGAGTTCAGAGTACAGCTCTTTACGGGACAGCGAGGAGCTTATCCGGGGAAACATGGGCACTCGGCCGGACGTCGTCAAGCCACTGAACATCAATCGAGAGAACCGACAGGAAGAGCCCTATCTATCAACACATCTCGGGGTTCCACGAACCAATGCGTATCAAGTCTCCCCGGGCACCGAAAGACATTCCGCGCTCAGCCAAACATTCAATTTCGATCCCACGAGCATTGATCGTGTGGATGAAAACATCACTGAAAATCCGCGTAGGTGAACCTATACAGAACTGACAAGAAATCTTGCTCGTTCTAATCATTCTTCTCACACTTGCTTTGCAGCTGTCACGCATGAGACCGTTTTTCCTCATGTCCACGAGATCAGGGAGGAGCAAATCTATCGCGATATACACACATATGACCATTACCATTATGTGCAACCAGTTTATGATCTCGAGGTGTTACCGTAAGTTAATTCCCATTGGAACTTACACAAGACATGTTCGCAATACACCACCCAACCACAAGGTGATACAAGAAAACAGTTGATCTGCTAACACGGAAACTCTTGATAGGGCACGGCACTTTGCTCCTGCTGCCGACGGTCAGTTGCGCGAAGTTTCGGCGCGGGATTTGCCAGAATGTACTGGGGCGAATCAGAAATGGTCCATCATGGAGAACGAATCAGTGAATGCCAAACGCCAAGCAGAAATACCCCGTGTGATAAATTGAGGTGTGCGACGGTTTCTCTAGTCTCAATACCCCCCAGCAGAATAACATGTGTTGTTTAAATGACCCGAATCAGATCATGTCAAGTATAGCGATAGGCTACTTCCATAGCGGCGTGGTTTTCTCCTCATAGTGAAGCTGCTTTTGTAATTGATCGATGAGTCTAGCGGTGTGTAAGGAACATTGTTTTATATCACTTGAGGATGTTTCGTACTGCGCTGTAGCATTACGGAGAATCGCCCATGGAAGAATAAGCATGTTTGCATGACACTCAGAAAACCAGTCTCATAGTTTTGTCATCAAGAAGGTATTATTCTATTGGCAATCTATTTTATCCCGAACGCCCGTCGCTATGCACTGTCAACCTAAACAATCCCTGTTCATCTATACAAAAACATCGTCGATGACTTTTCGTGACCCAGTTGTGAGCTGCCCGCTCGTCTTGTTTCTAGCAGCAGCATCTCGAGCTCCTGAAGTGCCTATGGTCCTCTGCTCGGCCGCCTTTTCGTCGCTGACAATGACGCCGAGTCCCGCAAAGGCTTCAAACATGGCACGCGCAGTATATTCGTGTAGGCTGTATCCACCAACTTGGTGCCCCTTGTCTGTCTTTGCTTTGGCCAAGTGCGGGTTTTCGTATTCGCTCTGCAGAGCATACCGGCTGGGTTCCAAGTGGATGCCGGCGTAGGGGCTGTACGGCTTATTCCTGTCTTCTTCATCCGCAGAGGGTCCAGTCCTCTTCTGCCGCAAGCCACGGATAGAGATTCCTCTCGATCCTTCCAGACTCGCGCCAAAGTGGTCGCCATTCATCTTGGCGAGCTTGGCCTTCTTCGTTGCCAGAATTCTTGCTTGGATTTCAGCGGCGCTGCCAGATTCTCCTCGCGCGAGGGCCTCCATTACCTCCTGGTTCAGTTTGGCCTCCTCGGCCTTTGCCTCCTCCTCTTGTTGCAAGAGCTCCGCTCGCCGTGCTGCAGCCGCAGCATCTGCCTCTTTCTGTCTCTTGAGTCGCAGTGCCTCGGCCTCGCTGCCCTTCTTCTTGTTCCTCTCTATTTCCGCCTTGTGTTGTTGTTCGTAGTCGACCAGCTTTGCCTCGGCCTCCATTCTTTCAGAGTCTTCGCCGTAGACGAGAGAAAACGTCAGGTCCTCTACATCTTGGAGGTAATTATTGTAGTCCCGAAGCGTCTCAAAGTCGTCCTGGGTATTATTGAACACGGCAGCCACTCGCTTCCGTATATCGACCTCGCGCTGAATACTGAGATCGGCAAACATGGCCTCGCGAAAACCCTTGAGGCGGAGAGTCTTGTTACAACTAGCATAGGGGCATTGCGCCGGGCCAGACTTGAAGATGGTTTCGACACATTGCGAGCACATTGGGTGGTAGCACTCTGGATTGATCTTGAAGGTCATGGTCGTGTTGAGGTAGCGATTGCGCTTGCACACAGGACAAATGTCCTCGGGGACGACATTGGCAGCATTGAGAGGGCGCGTAATGGTTGTGGCGCCAGGGCCTTTTCGTGACATGATTGCGGTTCTTCGAGCTTGGCTACTCGTGTTCTTGGAGGATCAAGGCAGTTGAGCAGTTGAGAGACGCGTCGGCGCCTGTGGCAAGTTTCAGCTCTTGTTTGCGCTCGTATTGGCTGTACGCGTCCACAAGAGTGTACTGTCTGGTGGTGGCGTTGCAAAGCGACGTGAATTTGATCTTGGGTGAGGCAGGACAACTACTCAGAAGGTCCCAGAACAACCCTTGATTGAACGTCTTGTAACCGATCGCTGGTCTAGTCAAGCAAGAGTCGCGTCTAATCAAGGAATCTGCGCAAAAATCCGAAGCCAAGATCGCTGCTCAATTTGTTTGTTTAAGAATGCTGGACTCAAAACCTCCCCGAGGAGGATCACAAAATGTAGTACTCAAGCAGACGGCTGCAGTGATAAATCTTAAGATGGGAGAGCTTCAGCTGTACATGGTACGACTCAGCGATTACGAGCCCCTAGATCAGCCTTAGATAAGGAAACTCCCCAGGGGATGCCCCTCCAAGGGAGGTACCTACCCTGGACATTGGTCCTGAACCAGGGTAACTGCCCCGCGATTTCTCAGCATTCTGGAGAGTTCCAAAAGCTCATGTACTTTCACCCGCTCGTGAGCATCACTCAGGCTCTCAACACAACACAGCAAAAGTACATACAGTGACGGCCAATATGTCTGGTAAGTCGCCGAGATAATTCTAGGTTAATCTGAATCAAAGAGGCCACACCAGCTGCTCTGGATCTTTCAGTCCGATCATGTCGCGTCTAATCAACCACCAACTAACATATCTACCTTTCAAGATCCCACGCCTGAGCAAGAGGCGGCTGCGCGCGCCCAGGAAGCCAAGGAGCAGGCCGCTCTGCCCTACAAATGGACTCAGACAATCAGCGAGCTCTCTGTCCTAATCAATGTGCCGGGTAACCTCAAGGGCAGAGACTTGGTGGTGGACATCAAAAAGACAAAGCTGGTGGCAGGCATCAAGGGCCAGGAACCAATCATCAGCGTATGTGCAATACAACAATTTATACCCCCGATGAAGCCCCAGAGTCTCTTGGGATTCGAACTCAGGCTAATACTAGAGATTGCGAACAACAGGGTGACCTCGCCCATCCCGTACTGGTCGACGATAGCACTTGGACTTTGACCTCGGCGCCCGACGGTACCAAGAACATCGAAATTCACCTCGACAAGACCAACAAGCAGGAGTGGTGGGCGCACGTTGTCACGTCCGCGCCCAAGATTGACGTGACCAAGATCGTACCCGAGAACAGCAAGCTGGGGGATTTGGTCGGCGAGACCCGCGGCATGGTCGAGAAGATGATGTACGACCAGCGCCAGAAGGAGGCAGGCCTGCCGACCAGCGATGAGCAGAAGAAGTTTGACATACTCAAAAAGTTCCAAGATCAGCATCCAGAAATGGACTTTAGCAACGCCAAGATCACGTAAGCTATGCGACAAAGTAGTATAAAAGCCGGAACAAAACCAAAAAAGGATACGGAGCATTGCGCAAAAGAAAACAAGCAAGAATCATATTGTCTATTAGCCATGTCTACATAAGCTGGAAATGTCAAGGGTGAAACGAATCGCACAAAACCACAGTACGGGTGCAAACCACGGGTTACGGCGTCAGAGAGCCCTTGTAGCTTTGATCTTGGAATCGCGAGTAATGACATAGCAGATTGAGTGCTGCTAAGCATCAATTGTCAGATTGAAGCGTTCCGTTTTTGCAGTTGCATATCTTGTTGGCAACATTTTAGACGTTGACGTGTATAAGAGAAGAGACGGGGTAGGCTACCCCTATACCTACCTGAGTCTGTCACCGGGGCACTCAGGATATAGTCAAAGCATGATACTTATGCCTGTGGATCTTGGGAGGATACTTAGTCAATGCACTTGTTTTTCCCGTCACGTTGGTTTACACATGTCCACTATCACCGTTTCTGTCGAGATTGATCGCGCCCGAGAACAAGAAAACCAGAAGTCTCATGATTGAGTTACTGAAACTTTCTGAACTCTAGGATTTGGCGAGTCTTGCTGCTTTGAAGCGACTCATGCGCTTGGGACCGCCCTCCTCTTCATCCAATGGCTGGATGGGTGACTCATCTTCCTTCATGAAGCCACCCTGCTTTTGAATCATCCGATTACGAACCTTGTGGTACTCGACTGCTGCTTGTTGTTTGAGCATGTCAGCGTCGAACTCGTCCGGTTCTCTCGCCGTGTCGGTTGGGGCACGCTCTAAAACAGCCGTTGCCATGGTCTGTCCTTCAGGGCCAGAAGGTGCAAATTGCTGTTCCGAGACTGGTACTTCAGGACTGATGACTGAGCCATCCGATGCCACTGGCGCCTTGAATGTGGGACCTCCGTTAGCTGCGCCGTCGCCGCGAGCCATCTTGAACCTGGATGCCTTCTTAGCCACGGGCGCGGGCGCAGAAGCTGGCAGAGCCGCTGGGCTCTTGCGTTCCACAATGTCCGACAGTGGATCAACTTCTGGTGTTTGAGGTTTGACTGGGGGTACAGCAGCTGGTTTTACTGCTGGTGCAGGAGCAGACTCCTCTGCAACATCCAAAGTCGATGCAAAGCGGACGTTCTTCTTGGCATCGGATGCTACCTCGGGTTTCAGGCTGCTGGCGCTGCTGTTCGGAACAGAGCCCGGTACAGCATCTTCATTCTTGACGCGAATTTTGGCGATACCCTCCATCATATTGTCGGTGTCGTTGGAATTGCTGGCATCATCTTTGGTCGAAGATTCAAAGGTATGGTTTCGTAGTCGCTGCTCGATCTCCAGCATTTTCTGACGGTACTCGTCATTGATGTAACTGGCTTTTGACCTGCCCCACTGGTCTTCATCCTCTGTATCATAGTCTTCATCTTCGTCAAGATCCCAGCCGTCTTCGTCGTCATCGGTCACGGCTCCATCTTCCAACGTGAGCTCGGCAATGACTGGGTTCAGTTCAGACAGATTATACTGGAGCATGTCCCTTCGAAGTTGTGCATCGTCTTCATCCTCATCATTAGGAATGCGAGGATCTGAAATCATGGCCTCCTGCTTGTTTGCCTCCCGCATCAGCTCATCGATAGAAGCCGCCGTCAGAGTCATGTATTCGGGCTGTGTATCAGCCAGCACCTCTGCTGCCTTGGTTTCCTCCGTGAATCTGACGCTCTTCTTTTCTGTCTGAGGTTTGGCTGGTTCTTCGTTGACTGCAGTCATCTTTTCCTTTGGCGGGACAGACGCGGACGAGGGTTTCGAAGAGGGCAGGCGCACTGGTGCTTGGGCCTTTTCGGCAGGCCGCTCGACTTCCTTGCCCTTCTTCGAAACAGTTGCGGGGGCTGAGGGGATCTCTTTCAGCCCAGCCTTCTCCAAAGCTTCCATTAATTGCGGTTGGTTGTTTCCGGGTGTGCGCAGACTATATGAGATAACATTGTCGTCTTCGTCGAGCTCCTCCAGGATTTCCGTGACTGGTAGTCCACTGTCGTCCTCTGGATATTCGTCGTCTGGTATGTATTCGTCTTCCGACGTAGATGAATCATTGTCATGCTCGACTGTGAGCGACAACTCCGTCTCGATCGCGATAAGTTGCTTCTCCAACGTGGAGATGTTTCGTCCAACATAGTCGGCTCGGTTGACCAGCGTACTGGTGATCTGGTCGCGTCTCTGGGTGTTTTTCTCGCCGAAAATGTTTGCGAGTTCTTGTTCCTTGACCAGTCTGCCTTTGTAGGCTGCGCGCACCTTCTGAATCTCGCTTGGCGGAGCATCAGAGGGCACCGAGTCCAGTTCCCGCTTCAGGCCCTCGTAGTCTTGCTTCCATTGTCGCCATTCGTCCAAGAGTGCGCGGGTTCTCTGGGCGGTTTCTTCGAGTTTTTGTCTCTGCTGCTCGAGCTGCTCAATGCTGCCGTCTGCAGACATGGTGTGTAAAGAGGCAAAGGAAGTAAGAATGCGACGTGGATTTGAGAAGGGAGGAGGAGCGTCGCATTGGATCAATGCATGGAAATTTCCAGTAACTGTCACTTGATGTTCCTGTCAAATTTTAGGCGGGGCCAATTGCCAAGACCCACATGCACCTTTATCGCAAAACGGCGCTAAAGAGTACATTAGAGAGGGACCTTGGCAATCCATATATTTGGTAGCTTTGTTGTAGCCAATATTAATGAACTTGAATGAATAAACCATTGAGGTACGTATGCCCATGAGATTTTGCTTTAGATTAGTGAATTTACTTGAGAGAATTCTGCGGATTGTTTCCAACAGACACCCCTGCCAATAGAAAGTCAGGCACTTTAGAGACGGGACTGATCCTAGATCGTCGCCGCCCCAGTTTTGCTTCTCTTCCATAGCTGGAGGTTGACAACGTCTTATAATACTTGCAAGGACTTCATTCACATTTTCAAGCATATACCAGACCTCCGAACACCCGAATCACAAGAAAACCATGCTATCGATTCTCATATTAAAATTACATCTTTATAGTCGAGATGATATCATCATCTTATACTTGATGGAGACTCTTTGCGGGAGCTAAAAGTACAGTCATCCCACAGTGGAACCCGACAGCCCGCAATGGAGTATAGAGTTTCGACTCTACCTTAAACTGCGTGTTGGATTACTGCAAATTGGTCCTCTGCCGCCCCATGCCAATGATTTAGCGGACTGCTGGGGCCTTCTTGGGTCTGACATAGCTTCCAGATACTGAAGCAGTAAACACATGGTTTGGCGTCATGCGCGACGCTTGTAAGCAAGAAAGCCGACGCGGCCGATTCGAGCTGTGTATAAATTCCCGCCGCTGCTCAAACGGCAAAGTTGAATATAGAGATTCCATCTCGATCATATAACGTTGAAAATTTGGTGATTCATCGTGTCCCTAATTCCGTGGTAGAACCTAATGGCAATATTCTCGATACTCAAAGAATATTGACCTCGCTCCTTGTGCTTGACCTTGAGGGTGTCACGATTTACCATTACTTACGATGCCTCCTCCAAAAGGAACAAAGACAAATCCGCTAGAAGGTCCAGGTATGTACCTATCTGTTTATCTGGTTCAAGAAGATTAGTGTCAAGTGGATCTCGGTCGAGGTCCGTCACTAATGCCATGGCAGCCGACTATGACATGACCAGCGACGTGCACAGTGATACATATCCAGCGATTGATCCGACCAAGGCCAACTTCAAAGGCAAAGCCGTCTTCATCAGCGGCGCCTCCAGAGGTCTGGGTCGCGCGATGAGTGTCTCGTTTGCCAAGGCCGGCGCGTCCATGATCGCCCTGGGAGCCCGGGGCGACACGTCGGAGACGCAACGGGCAGTCAAGGACGCCGCGGCAGCAGCCGGGAAGCCCGCCCCAAGTATTCTACCCATCAAGTTTGACGTTGCCGACAAGGACAGCGTCGGCGCTGCGGCGTCAAAGGTTCGAAGCGAGTTTGGCAGGGTGGATATCGTCATTGCCAATGCCGCCGTCCTCGAGACTGGCAAGATTACCGAAATGGACCCCGATGCATGGATCCGAACCTTTACGACCAACACTGTTGGCCTTTACCTATTGTATCGATCTTTCATTCCGCTGATGCTTGAAGGAGGCGACAAAACTATTGTCACGGTAAGCAGCGTCGGCGCTCACCTCGTAGGACCTGAATATAGCGCCTATCAAACCTCTAAATTCACAGTCCTCCGACTGGCAGAATTTGCATGCGCAGAGTATGGCGATCAGGGTTTATTGGCATATTCCATCCATCCCGGCAATATCCCAACAGACATGGTCGGTGGTATGGAAGGACTTGCGCCCGGTTTGAAACACAGTGAGTGCCTTTTAGGCTGATTGTGTGTGTAGAGATGTTGCACCAGCTGACTTGAGGCGCAGTATTTGTTGATACACCACAGCTCAGCGCAGACTCTCTTGTCTATCTGACGTCAGAGAAGAGGGACTGGCTTGCTGGGAGATATATCAATACGACCTGGGATTTGCCCCAGCTCATGGCGAAGGAAGATGTTATCGTATCTGGAGATAAGCTCAAAGTTAGGCTTGTAGTATAATTCCATCACGTTATGCCCTTTGGTGGAAGAAAAGAAAAGACGCCGAAATGAGGTTGTAATGGTAGTAATTTTGATAAACTGACGATGTTTACTCAGGCCTGGGGACTTTTGGAAACAGGTTCCAGATAAGCATTGTCAGCAAGTCGGTCTTGAATTGTCGCGTCGTACAAGGCCTTGGGTGAGCGCGAGAGACGAAACCGTAAAGCCACATTTGTCTCAGTCCCAATGGCGTAGGTGTCGCAAATATAACATCAGTACCCTTCTGACTATTGGGCGAGGTGCGAGACTGTAAGGACGAATCCTATTCCTAGCATCCATCAGGTTGTAGGAGCGTTGATTACACACCACTGTAAGAACTTCATTTTCGAACCGGCCATATGATCGACTGGTGGCCGTGACATGACGTGGCAGGAAGTGGAATTGATCCAGATTGCCGGGTGGACAACGTGGAATTTAGTCAACCATTTAAGAATACTAAGTTTACGGGCCGTGCTTACAAAAATCTAACGTCTTGAGTTTCGGACGAAAAAAGGACCAAATAAATGCATACCTAAATGGCGGGCGGCTTTGGAGCCTCGCACTTTAGAGATGACCGAATCATATGGTATCTGAAACTTCTCACGGGCGATTTATAAGATAAATCCGGAGCGGAGATAATGCCTAAGTGCTTTGTTTACGGGATATTCAGTATGCGCCGGAATATTAAGTAATGATCAGCCTTATACGTGACAGGGGCATTCTCTGATTTTTATTCTAGTCAGGGGGGGACATCGGCGAAAAAGAGAGAGTTCGCACCGATGGTACCCCTGTTTGATCGGCTCGCGAGTCTAACTTTCGCCGACATAACGACGATTCAAGACGGCGTGGCTGTCACTTACTCCATATCCAGCTAGTCCTTGGCGCCACCATTGATTAGATATCCAGTGAGCAGATCTGGATTCTGCACCCTGATCCAAGTCATTAGCCATGGACCATGGACCAGCTCGATTGTAACTGCAGTCTGGGCCTTGAACAAGCAACGGAGCTACTCGGACGTAGCTGCACATGGTCTCCGAATACTCTTTCTCAGTGCACCCAAAGGCGGGCTGACGTTAGCTTGGGCCGTAGTCGCGGCCTTTTGAAAATAGCGAGATCAGATAGTAGTCCTAGACACCTAAGCAGGCAGGTAGGCAGGGAGCAGGAAGAGGAGGGAAGGGCAATGCGACTCGTGTGTTATTTCTGTTGATATAATAAGTCGACGCTTGGCCTGCATTCATGCACTCGAGAAGTCAAAATCAAAAAAGCGCCAATATACTCCAGACAAACAGTATACCTGTTCAATAAAAACTATCTCGACATTGTGTTTCTTTTGAATCATCCTGCCAGACACACTTGCTTGTTAGATCAAGTCTGACGTACGACGACGATTGTACTCCAACCGCGCAGTCTACCACGCGGCAACGATTTCGACACAAAGAAGTCTGGAACACCACTACCACCATTTGCGGAGGTGTAATCCGATGCAACGAATCGGCTGAAAACGTTCGACCATTTCGATCTGCTGATCACAAAATATTCCAACCACGATTCCGATTTCTCTGTCGACCAAACAAAATAAAACAAACACGACCCTGTAACACCTGTTCTACCCATAGACAAAAGATACACATTACAAAATGTCGTCCACTTCAGGACCACCTTACATGCCAGCGATCGCGCAAGTTGGCGGCCTACCAACTGTCGCGATAGACGTGCCAATCTCAGCATGCCTGTTGTTCTTGTACGTCTGCCTGGCAGTAGTGCACATGACGATATTCCAAGTCAATCTCAGGCGTGACCACAAGTTTTTGTTCTCTGCAATGCTTTTTGGTCTATCCATGGCACGCACAGCAGCCTTGACCATGCGCATGGTCTGGGCAACACACCAGGATAATGTCCGGATTGCCATGGCGGCTGGCATATTGACCCAAGCCGGCGTGATTGTCGTCTTCATCGCCAACCTCTTCTTTGCGCAACGCATTGTGCGCGCATATCACTCCACCTTTGGCTGGGCCAAGGGAACTCGCCTCGTTTTCCGCTTCCTCCTCTTCTCCATTATTGCATGCTTGATCATGGTCATTGTGTGCACCGTTCAGTCCTTTTATACGCTGGACACGAGTATCAGGAGCAAGGATAGGGATGTGCAGTTGACGGCGGGTACCTATTTGGCCTTTCTCTCATTTGTGCCCGCTCCGGCCGTCATCATTGCCGCTCTCATTCCTAGCAAGAACCACGTCGAAAAGTTTGGCCAGGGCCGCTTCCGGACCAAGATTATGCTCTTGGTCTTCACTTCGCTGCTCCTGACGGTGGGATCTGGCTTCAGGATCGGAACCAACTTTGCACCTCGGCCCATCACCAACCCTGCGTGGTATCACAGTCGGGCATGCTACTATTGCTTCAACTATGTCATTGAGATTATTGTCTCAAGCTTGTACGCGGCCATCCGCTTTGACAGGAGATTCCACATCCCCAACGGCGCCAAGGGCCCTGGCGACTATGCAAAGGGCCAGCTTGCCATCAATACCGAGTCAGAGGCATTTGGCCCAGCTGACAACACTGATGAGGAAACTATGCACGAAGAGCCCTCGTCATCTGTAGCAAACTCGGAGAAGAGATTCGGGCCTGGACAGGATAGGGCCGGGGCCATTGTGTAGGCGCCAACAAGGAGATGAGCGTTGCATAACGATACCCAATTCATTTGTATTACTCAGCATCATAGAATCAGCGAAAAGGACCATAGACATAATGACAATTTTCTACTCATCAGAGATTTGATTGGGTCTTCAACTACAAGTGATTTCATGCATGCCAAGCTTTAGCTTAGAATCAAGACAGAACATAAGAATAAAGAACAGTCCAACATAGGTATATGGATATTTCCGACCGCAATCTCCTTCTTTTGCTATCATGCTGCCATCACATGCACAATATATGGAAGTCTGCGGCGGAACAATCAATATGTCCAAGGCATATTCAAGGTTCGAGACAAGGACTGTCTCTGACATGGCTTACATCATAAAACAGACATACATCGCGGGCCGAAGCTAAGCATTTCACGCGTTTCATGATAATCAAATTCGTAATACTGATGGATGATGAGTCGTATAGAAATGGCTTCAATCTGTTTTCCTTCCAAATCTGCGACTCTCAAA